GGCCATTCCTCTCTTCCATACTATAATGTTAAAACAAACTATAAACTATATAAAATACATTTTGTTTTGTCCTTATAAATATAAACACAAATTATTTGAACTATAGAACTGTAATTTGACAGTAAATGATAAAGAGATTATTATCCACCCATAAATGTCATTAATGTAGATCAGGGTTCTCTAGAATGTTGATATTAGATTTCTTTTTTTTTTTTTTACTTTTGCTGGGCTACATTTCTAGATCCATCCACTTAGTGCAGATAAATGATAAATAAGTGGTCATTCTAGATGGATGGATGGATACTTTTTTTTTTTTTAGACATATAACATTTTCCAGATGTGTTTTAGAAATGTGTTAAACCTTGAATGCAAAATTGGAAAATTTATCATAATAACAATATAATATTTACAGTGGTATAAGTTATTGTATGATTGTTTATAATTTTAAACCCTAAATCAAAACTCTCCACCAGTATATAATTAGCAAACCCTCCATGTGAAAATAATGTGTTTTTTTCCTATTTAAAGGGATCCAAACAACAAATCCAAATTAAAAGAAACTCTGCCGGCAAGCAAGCTTAAATAATTAAAACAGGAATCCTCTTAATGAATAAGTCATTGCCTGACTGTAACAGGATGCCAAGTGATACTTCCTGGCAGAAGCCACTCTTGTGTCACAGATAATAGAGTGACACAAAAGGCAGCAAAACATAACATATCAATACTCATCATTGTTTGAGTATGTTTTAGTTGGCTGGATGCTCATTTATCCGCCAAATCCGAAACAGTGTGATTGAATAACTGAACCTGAAACCAGAATGGCGCCATGGGTGAATCCAACGTTTGCCTGTCTCTTTCCGCTGTGTTGCGTGTCAGTCAGTGGTCCGGTAAAAGATGTGTTTATCAATTCAGCGGAGAAGGCAGGGGAATAAAAAGGGGAGCAGATGTTTGCAGCTGCACACCAGATTATGGGGTGGAGTGGCTGGTGGGGGAAAAGGCCCGGTTTGGAGCTCGGCGAGGGTTACAGGGGGGTTACGGCGGGCTCCGGTGGTGGCGGAGAGGTAGGGTGGGGAGTTATGACTTAAAGAAGCCTTTCCTCTGAAGTGTCTGCCAGCCTGCACCCCAGCAAATACAATCACAAGAGTCGCTGGTTCTGCTAGCTGAACTAATGAGGGCCTGCACGTTGAGGGCAGGGGCTTTGATGTTCTGGGTAGCTGGCTCCTTGTGTTTTCTCTCCCGCTCTCCTTCTCTGCCTGTCCCACATAAAAAAAAAGCTAGGGGAGTTGAGAAGCAGATGTTTTGAGGCACATTTTTATACACAGTACAGTTAATTCACCCCATCTCCGTAACTCTGTTTGTCCACTGCTGCTCCATCACCGCTGCATGAAGGGCAAGAGGACCTATCCCCCCACATCTTTATATCCAGCTAAACACTCTAAATCGCCATACTTTATACATATAATCATCATGTCAGTCAAGGAGGGTAACTTTTATCTCTCCTGACTTCCTCGCTGTGCCTGCCTCTCTTTAATTTCAGCCCAATCTGGATGTCATTACTCAGGGGAGGGGGCAGACTATGTTGCTATGCATGTGTCTGTGCAACGACGAGGGAGAGAATGGGAAGAGAGAAAAAGTCCACCCAACCTCTGTCTCACACATGGGAGAAACAGTGACAGGAAATTCCCTTATGCAGCAGCTCCAGGGTGAAATGATAAAGGAATGAAGCAATGCAAACCAGAAATCCAGGCCTTTATCATTCCAAGCCACTTGCAGCCTACTGCTTATACCTTAACCGAATAACTAACCCCCACCCCAGGAGAGCGAACCCAGCCACTGGCACCATCATTCCTCTGGTGTCCCTACAAACAAAACTTAATTGGCATTAAATCCTATGTGACAGAAAGGCTTCTCCCAGCAGCCTGAGCACAAAGACAGTTTGGATTATCTAAGATATCCAGGAATGCAGTCCTCATAAATCAAGTCCCATGGCGACATTAGCATTTTGCTAAATTTACAGCTCATGTGTGCATGGTTTTGATTGTGCATTAGCATCAGTGATTCAACATACTTTAGACTTTGTGCATAGACCAGTCCATTTCTGTGCTTGTGTTTATATTTTTCACTTCTCTGTCCCCTCAGCAACAACCATGGAGGGTCCAGGGCAGCGGGTGGTTCAACAAGTCACATCCTTGGCTATGAACTCCGGACAGATGATCCCCTCAGATCCTTGCACAGCAAAGACTGGTATAATCGCCACCAACTTTATTCTCTCTCTCTCTCTCTCTCTCTCTCTCTCTCTCTCTCTCTCGATGTGGCTCTCCAGTAATAAAAGTCATACTTTTAAGGAAACAATATCCTGCGGCCATAAAATGTCCTTCTCTCAGCATGGAGTGGCCATAAAAAAGCCTCTCACCTCCAAAATCTGTAGTGCATCAAGCTTATCCCCACATTTACACAGTATTAAGTGCAGACATGCATGCTCTCAGGCCAACACACACAACAACACACACACAATCCTTAGCATCATTTCAGGACTAAAGTAGGTCCATCTCTCACTTTGACATGTTCTACATGTGGGAAGAATTTAAAGAGCCCTTAAACAAGTGAAACAGAGAAACCAGGATTATACTGAAATACAAAAGAAAGCAGAAACCCATCTCATTGTACTTGTAGCAAATGGAGACATGTTTGTGTCATATTAGTAAGAATCAATAATAAAGAACATGATCAGCATTTATTATGCTATAATGACTATTTTCAACTGTTGGGTGAAAATGTGAAATTTGCCAAATGAAAACAATGGACTTAAGGAGGAATTACGTAGACTAATGAGATAATAGTGGATAAAGTAAGCAACTAAAAGCAGGCCAGTATAAAAAAGATGTTTTAGATTGGCCGATTCAAAGTCTAGAATTTACCTTAATGCACTTCTGTGGTGTGAACATCAACAGGCTGTTCATACTTGAAAAAAGAGAAAACAATTATGCAAAAGAGAGTGAAATAAACCTCTCCACAGTGATGAAAAACTATTAATGGAAATTATATAAAAAAAATGCTTGTTGACACCAAGGGAGATACAACCTGTCATTAGGCTTAGAGGGCAAGAGGCTTTTCACACAAATCCGGGTATAAATAACTTTCCCCCTTAAATAATGAATTCATCATTTACCCTTGTCTGATAAGAAAACTTTTATGATGAAAAAATTTTTTTTAAGTTTGACACAACGGTTAAAAAAGATTATAAATCTGCTAAAAGGCACGGTAGTTTTTTTTTCTTCTACCTTTGACATTATACCACCTTTTCTTGTTTATTTTAGGATTTCAAAACAAACACCCTTATAACTATGGAAGATTGAATTTGGTCATGTAATTTTTGTAGTGCATATTAATTCCTACAATTATACCTTATTCTTGCAAAACTGCTTTTCTTCATGTTATTCAGAATGCCCCTGCTGATAGGCGCGGTCTAAACACACCTAATCCAGAATAGAAGGTCTTCGAAGGTTGAAGTTGTCAGACAGAATCTGCTGTTACTAATAACTTCACCTGGGAAAACAGCTGACTTAAAACTGATATTTACTGATTTTGAGAATCTGAGAATCTTTAGAATTATCTACAATTAGCCATAGCTTTTAATATCAATTGAATGCCATAGATACATCTGCCTTTTTATTCAAAGTGACATGTTTTGGAAAAAAAATGTAAACTGAACATCCTCGCCTATTAATTATCTTAAGTGTTTATTTAATGACGTCTTTATTTAATCCAGTCTCATCCAGTCTACAGAATATGTTTTGGAAGATTAGAAATGTTCTACTTTTTCACTTGCAGTAGTTCTCATTTTGCCCTTAGTCCATGTCTCCTTCGCTGGATGTCCGAGCTCCAGCTGAGCTGCTTTGAGTTAAAACATGGACAGCATCAAGAATGCTTACCACTCAGAGCCAAAAAGGACTGATCCCTCTTTAAAGATAAATTTGGGCCAAATATTTTGGTTTTACATTGCAACTACACAACATGTCTCTGTAGTCCTAATTAAACTGTCTAAAATCCCAGTTTTCATTTATCAGCCTTGGATGCTTATTCAGCTCCAACAAATAGATCCCTTTAACAGTATTTCCTCTTGTTTCAGCACATGTCCAAATCCATGGCGGAGCAACCACCAAGACCTCCAACAACCGAGGTCAGAACAGGCAGCTTGGCAGTTTCCGAGTGATCTCCCACCCAAAACCACAGCTGTTTGGGCCCTGATTTCCCAACAGGCCCAGCTGAGTTATGGGACTGTGGGAACTACAAGCCAATTTCAGAACAAAGTAAGGGGCTTAAATCTCCTTTTAGGTTTCAAGACCAGGTGATTTCAAAAATTTTATTTCTTTTTTCTTTTTAAAATGTTTCCTTCTAAAAGCAGTGACTAGTGTTAAAATGGGGCTTAAGACCACTTTTTCATCCAGCTCTTGATAGACTTTCACGAATATTTTGTTTGATTTGTGTTTGTTTTGCACAATTAGTTATTATGTGCATCTTTGTGTGGTTAATAATAGGATTAAGTCTTGATTCTTGATCTCATTATTCCACAAATCATCTTGTAATTAAAGTGTTCATTTAGTGACCATTAGTAATGATTTTTTAATCCTTAGGAATGGGCTCATATCTACTTGTGCACTATTTATATCGCTGAGATCGCAAAATGAAATGGTCCACAGTTTATAACTCTTTTTTTTTTTTAAGATAATGAGACTTTTAAAACTTTGATATAATGTAATTAAAGTATAATTACATTACAATGAATTGGAATTTGGTGTGTCATTTCATTAATATTTAATCAAATTAACTGACTGAACTAAAAAAAACAAAACTTGCAAAGTCTTGGGATGGGATGTAGAAATTAAGATGCTTAAACTTCCAATTCATCTTCAAGGTAAAGTTGTTTTTTTCCTTTCTGTCAATGACTAAGGCGATATCTTAAACTAACATGAAACTCTGACACAATAATCACATTAATACAACATAAATGTACAAATTTACAACAACATCATAAAATACACAGCTACTGTACAACAAGATGATTAAGAAAGCAAAGGCTGAAACATTAACACTCCTCTGCTATTTCTCCACTTGAGTGCGGGCCTTCCTCATGGCTGAGAGGGCAGCGTCTAAACAGGCCGTGGTAACACAAATGACATGAGTCACCTCTTCAATCTCTGACTTGGCATTTTAGGAATAACAGCGGCTACGCAGAGAAAATAGATCCCAGATGACAGCATAAAAAAAAAAAAAAAACACAAAGTGAGCAGGATAAACAGATTCTCTGGAACAGTTGCAGATAGAGCCAAACAAAAGCTGGATCTACTTGCACACATTGACCCACTCTGTAAGGCGACACTCCTCGCACAGCACATAGCAGCACCAGTGAAACCGACAATTGCAACGCTCACTGCGAGTCTGCCTCAGGATGTTGTGCCCGCGGCCGCAGCACAGCGAACTGCAGCTGTCGGTGCTGTAGCTAGTTTTGTTGCAGATGCGTCCCTGCGTACCCGGGGAATCTATCGATGCATCACGCTCGCAGAAATCAGGTGACTTCTCAAAATACACCAGTTCCCTGGACATGCTTCGACGGCGCCCTCCGCTGAATCCCCCAGTGCTTCTGTGGGGACTGTTCTCTGTTCGGGGGTTAAAGACGCCATTGTTTTTGTTCTGGGAGTTGACGAAGATGGCTGACAAGAACTTTTCCTTGAGAAGAGATCCGACAGCACGGAACTCTGGGGAAACGTACCAGCAGGTCTTGAACTGACAGCTCCCTGATGTGCCATGACATTTGCACTTTCTGGTCATGTTGTCAGTCACTATCTGTGGAAAGAAAGGTCCAGAATTTAGGTCAAATAAACTGCAGCAGGTACCATGTTTATGCCATACTCTACCAAATTACATTTTCTAAGTTTAACATATATTTTATTGGAATATGAAAGGCAGCACAGAATAGTGCACATTTATCAAGGGGAAGAAAATCAAGATGTGGCATTATTACAATTAAATTAAACTGAACAATCCTAGATTTTGTTGTTCCTTTTACTTTTTACTCAATCAAATCTCAAAGTCTAGTTAGGGTAATTCTCTACCAGCTTTTTTAGAGGTACATACTTTAATTATGGTCCTATTTGGTAGTTGGTTGGCATAGATTTTTAACGCTCAACTGGGTTTAGGTCTGAACTTCAACTTTTACCATTCTATACCATGGATACTTGCTTTGCCCTAAACCAGAAGTCTTTAACCCTGGTCCGCAAGGCCCACCATCAGCATGTGTCTCTGCTTCAGAACACCTGAAGCAAATGATTGCATTTCCTTCTCAGCAGCCTCTAAGGCAGAGGTGTCAAATTGGTTCCAGAAGGGGCCGTGTGGCTGCAGGTTCTCTTTCCAACCAAACAATAGCACACCAGACTTCTTTCATCTCATCAAGTCATCATGTTCAGATTGGACTCACTTGATGAGATGACAGGAGTCTGGTGTGCGATTGCTTGGTTGGAAAGAAAACCTGCAGCCTCACGGCCCTTTCTGGAACCAGTTTGAAACCCCTGCTCTAAGGGCAGGAGAGGTCTCTTAATCTCTCCTTTGTAAATAAGTCAGGTGTGTGGAGGTAAGGGAGTACCTAAAACCTGTTGGACAGTGGACGTGAGTACCAAGGCTGAAGCCCTCTGACCCAAACCATTCCATCGTAACTCTGGCTGTATGTTTAGGGTCATTATTCTCTTGGAAGATGAACCTCTGTCCCAATCTCAACTCTTTTTAGCCCTCTAACAGTTTTTTCCCCCTAGTATTCAGTTTAACCATCTTCTGATCAACTAACTAACCAAGTTCTTTGTGTCTGCTAAACACAAGCATCCCTATAGGACATTGTGGTGTTTCTTAGGATAATTGTACTGTTGTTTTAACCAGAGATTTCAGTTTTGTTCTCACCTGACCTCGTTGTACCTCCTTGTACCTCATTGTACCTCCTGTGTTTGCAGACTGATCAGCATGGCTTGTAGCAAAATTTCAATAAGACCTTTTATGGCTGTTGTTTTTCATGATTACTTTGTTCTTGTTCGTCATTTATTAGGGCCAATAGTTTATCAAACAGTGCTACAGTATTTATCCAAACCCTGCTTTAAACATTTAGCAATATTATTCCTGACCTGTGCACTGTATGAATTTATGGTCACTGTGCACAAATTGCTGTCAGAGAACACCAGAGGTTTCCTTTCTTGAAATTCAGTTGGCTTCTAAATCCAGTAAGTTTTGTTTTTTATTGGACCTTAGGATGTCTAATTGACAGTGGTTAGGTACAGATAAAGTATTGTTTTATGATTCCTATTTGTGAAAAACTATCAATATCTATCCGTCCACTATTTATTCACTTCTTTGTGTTCATCTGTCACATAGATCCCTAACACATAAATGAAGGTTTGTAAAGGGGCAAAGTGTGAAAAAAGTTATTGGGTCTAACTCTTGGAACTATATATTAGATTGTATAAAGGAGCACATCACTCACCTGCCGTCCTACACGGTTGTTATGTATCCTCATGCGAGCATAGATGTCCCTTGGAGAACCACGGGAATCAAGCCAGTCTCTTGAAAACCGATCCCCAAACCGCATGTCATGACTGCAGCCCCCCCACATCCAGGTGTCCTGCATAGAGCTTAAGTCGTCTGATAAAGGCTTGAGGAGTGCAGACGTGTGGGCAGAGTGTAGGTTGGCTGGTAGGTTCCCATGGTGCCCATTTAGATCAGAGGGTAATGATTTGGTCATGCCGATGCCTACCCCGCCCTTCTGCAGGGTCTGCAGCTGCAGCTGTGTGAGTTTCAGTCGGATCTTGTCATCGTCCTGGCGACGTTTGGCCTCACAGCTGCACCCCCGCAGCTTGCCCATGCTGCAGGCCGAGGCCACAGAGTGAGCCACACCCGCTGCCAGCAGGGCCAAGGAGAAAGCACTCTCGCGAAAACCTGGGGGCCCAGTGAACACACACACACAGACATGAAAATGGTGAACAGTGTCACTCTAAAAGTTTCATTAACCTGTTCCAAAGAACCTAACATTCTTGGTGAGTTACTGAGTATTGTTTAAGTTCTCTTAAACTCCTCACCCCTACTGAGGATGGTGCTGTGGTGGGGCAGCTTCCCGAAGCTTTCAAGGGAAGAGCAATTCCAGCGCTGGTCCCGCAGCTGGTGCTGGCACTCATGGATGGCCACCTGGATGCCCTGCAGGGCGGATGCTGTCACATCGGGACTACGCATACACATCCGCATCTGACGTTTACTGAGGCCTACCAGCCTCAGGCACACAGAGTGAGGGGTTAAAACTGGATCTCCTGCCACCTTCAGGCTGAGGATATCATTACATAGCACCCTGCAGAGAAGAGAGGAGTTTGTAGGGATTTGTCATCAGAGCTGGTTAGGGGTTCATCAAACAAATCCAGAGAATGTGTCAGTGGGAGAGAGATTTGAATACCTCAGTTAAAAAAAAGGAAAAAAGTTTTTAAAGAGCTGTTCTACAAAGTGAAATGCTTTTAAGGGATGTGTTACATGAACTATGTTGGAAACACAAGTTTTATTTGCAGTTGCGTTAGATGATCAGTGACAGTTGCAACAGAAATCTAATTCTAGATAAATAAATAAAAAGTTAAAAGCAAAAATCAAAGCTAGATTGAAGACAAAAAGGATAAATGAAATTCATATTTCAGACTTACAAACAAAATTGACAAACAGTGATTTATGTTACTCTAATATAATCCTGTAAAATATATAACCACAATTTGACTCATATCATTAATTAAACGTACAAGCACCCCTCAAAATTCCCCATCTAACGCATCCCCTCCTGGCGCTCTCAAGTGCACTTACGTTAACGCGGGTGACATAAGTGCTGTTGCCACAATCAGGAATTGATCCCAACGGAGTTTGTTTGATATCTCCATTTTGTTAAGCGCCTGTCGCGACGGGACATTAAAACTTTGGAAGTAAACACTCCGTAAAATTAAATAAGAATATCACAAAAAAAAAAGGTGGTCAAAAAATGCGTGGAGTTTTATCAATGCAGCACCAAACGAGCGAGTAGTGAAGACGGAGAGGAGACGAGCTCGGGGGCGAGAGTAAACTGGAGGAGGGGGAGAGAGAGGGGGTAAGGGGAGGGGAGTGGATGCCTCTACAGGCGACTGTTTGCGAAATATAAGCCAATATGATTGCATTATTGTTCAAGATAGCGTTTATTCCCGAGGGCGTAAAAGCCGTGTGTCCAAACTTTTACGCGCGGACGCGCCAAGCGCAAAGGTCTAAAGCTTAGAAGAAGCAAGACCCTTTGGCACACCTGGAATAAAATAAAATTATATATGTATTTATTTCAATGTTGCAAAATGGGAACATCCTTTTTTAATCACGGACAAAGAAAAAAGTATAGAAAATGTATTCTTAAAAGGGCATTTTTTTCATAGACGGGGGAGGGGAGAGCTTCTGCTTCTCCACTGTACGACAGGGAGGCAGCAGCAGGCAAGCGGCTCACTAAGAGACCCTCCAACAATACTGATTTTAGTCATGCGCCCACCCTCCCACCTCCTTCCATCCCACACCTCCCACCTCCATCAGAGCGGCTGTTCCTTGTTGTTCTTGAAACAACTTAACTCTGTCAACGCAAGTCCTCAGCAGCTCAAAGTATAAATGCCCATGCCAACATTTCAAGTGACAGATCAGACCCCTGTCAGTTGGAGTTACATATAATGGGCCTAATTATTAACTGAAGTGCAACTGGATAAGAAAAAAAATATTTGTGACTTTCCAAAAACATTTTCTTTAAACAGAATCGTTTAATCAAGTGTTATTTTATGCTGACTATGGCCTTTTAAAATTTGGTACAATAAAGGGTGCATACAACTTTCATAAAATTAAGTTAACCCCCCATCGAACACGGTTCGCTTAGTGACACCAATTCATCTAATCTCCCTCCATTCCCTAAGCTGCAGCAATGAAAAGTGCATTAGCATTCTGCCTTGGTGTGTATATCTAAGTGGCTTAAAAAGTGATTTGAAGTTGATTTGTATATAAAAGGCTCCCTTTATCCGGATTGAAGCTCTAATCTGCTCGGTGTCGCATGACTGCTCCAGGAAACCCCTTTGAGCACCTTCATATATATAAAGCTGGGGTATAAACGTGGAATGGCTGTCATTAAAGCTTTTTTTTTCTCTACTTATCCACTTCCTTTTACTGTCATCCAGGGGTGTGGGAGAAAATTGGAGAGGAAGGGACAAAGAGGATCGAAGCAGATCAGTCTAACATCAGCAGATATGTGACACATAATCAAACATTCATTCCAAATCTGGAGTTTTGGGGACATTTTGACTCGCTCCGAGTCATAGTTTGATGGAGATGCCGCAAAGTGGCTCAAGCTGTGATTAAACTGTGCTACTCATGCATCGAGGGAGGTCTGCAAGCCAGATGTTAGGGCTGCTTTCTTTTTTTATCCTTACTCGTCCCCCTCTTTCCCTGCTTCATCGTGCATCAAACTTCTGATTGGAGGCCATATTTCATCAGTACCACATTTGAAATATATCTAAGAAGCCCAGCATGCAGTATGAGTAATATGACAACTGTGGGGGGTGATATTGTTCCAGCATTAAGTTGCCTTTTACGCGCAATTTATATAGGACGATATATAGTTTAATTATCCCCCAAAAAGGCGCTTCCAGAAAAAATAACTCGTGAAGAAAAGGTGCAACTATAGCTTCACCCTGTGCATGTTTTAGAAGAAGGATTGCAGAGAGGAGGAGATGCGGTTATAGGGAGTAGGCAGCTCAAAGGGCAGTTTCAGATGGCTCATATTCCGCCGTATGTAACTGTACTGTGCAGAGATAGCAGCGGTGGAGCAGCAAAGCGGACGCACCCTCAGCATCTGCAGCAGCACATCAGCGCGTCCAGCCGGGCTCTTCACCCGTTGGGTAGAAAAGCGCGCACAGAGTCCAGGAAACGCTCTGAGACGCAGGCTTTTCCCCAAGGAACGGACATGAGATTCCACAAGTAATACGCGTAAAACTGATGTGGACAAAAAAAAAAAAACGAATTTTCTTTTCACTTTTCTGCTCAGTTGTGTTTCCTCATTCATTGTGCGCCCCTATGAAGAGCATTAACTATCCCTCCCTCCAATCCCATTGAAAAGGCAGCGAGGAAAAGAAAAAAAAAACAGAAGGAGATGAGAGCAGCAAATCCCTTTTTTATTCCTCTCGTAGCGCTCAATAAGAGAAGAATGTGTTGCCTATCAGTCACCGAGGGGATCAAATCTTCGGGACTGTCCCACGCGTTCATTGCGTCTCGCAAAGCATCACTGAGAGAGACAGAGTAAAGAGGACAGCAGCAGCATCCTGCCTGGACACTTCACATCATTCAACAACCTGCTTCCACTCAGGATCCATTTAAGTCAATTAGGACCATCTCAACGGTGAGTGTTTGTGCTTTAATACAGTTTAGCAGATAATCAATTAAGATCCTTAAAAGGGGGAAAATGTAAAGTTTGAATTTTCCATCTAGGATGTTTGAAAGGAAGCCACGATGAGGAGTCTGGCTCTGCTGTTGGGAGTGAAAGCCGCCTGCATCCTCTTGGTGTCTTCGCTCTCCCGCACGGGGGCCGTGAACAACAGCGGCCGGTGGTGGTGAGTGGATGCGGGGTAACTCTCCCCCTCCCTCGGATGTTTCAGCAGCCTGCAGCATCCTGGATCCAGAGCTGCTTTGCATTAACACTTTGCATACGATTTTTTTTTTTTTTTTTTTTTAACCAAGTTACCGCATTCCTCCACTGGAAGCTTGAAATAATCTGTTTGTGTTGGAACTCTGCACAACTTCTGCAGAAAGACGGGAGAAACCGAACCGCAATAAGATTTGTGGGATTTTGCTGAAGTTTGAAGCAAATTGCTCCCCTTTAATTTAATGATTCGTTATTAAGATTTAATTAACAGCTTATTGAAGCGACTAATTAGAGCTCTTTCAATTATGCTTTTCTATCCCCCTTTTCCTTTTCGATTTTTCGAAAATGTTTCTTTAACTTTTGTATTTCAATTTATGTATTACATCTATGCAACATATTAGATTATGGATTTATTTTATAGCAGATGGGCTCCTATATTTGGATCAGGAAGTTGTCTGCAGATTCGTTTACCAATGCCGCGACCCTTAAAACCAACTCAGGGAACCACTCTTTATTTTGATATATATAAAGAAATGTTTAAATATAATCCGATATGCATGGTTTAGCCTATTGTCTTGCTTGTTTAAAAGACAGCAAACAGAACTGGGTGTGTTGATGTGGGCAATTTAACGACAATTCTTTTGTGGTGTGACTGGATTTGAGATTTCAAATATTTCAAATGCCAGATGAAATCCTGGAGAGAAAAAAAGGAAAGGGGAAAATTGGAAAAGGGGAGAAAAAATCGCCTAAACAGTGAATTGTTATTATTATTTATTATCCCAGGCCCTATTACTGAGACAGATCCTCTTTGCAGGCACATTTGTTTTTTTTTTTCTGTTTTTTCTGTTTTTTCTGGTGGAGGATTATACTCATCAGGAGACACGTTAATTATTCTCCAAGAGTCAAGCTTGGCAGAAGGCAATGTAGAATTAAATAACAATAATGTGAGAAAAAAAGTGGAAAAATCCAAAGAATGTAAGCATGCAACTTCAAGAATTATCTGAAACACGAGCACTAGAGGGTAGTTTTAGAGGCTGCTTTGTGGTCAAACACTGACCCGAAACTGAGGAAGCACAGGTGCCATATTGGACCACAAAGATTGGAAAAAAAAAATTATATATATAAATAAAGTTATCCAATAATAATTAAAAAAAATGAATCAGATGGTAAAAGTTTTAAGAGTTGTATGGTTCAGGTATGGAAGAAATTCATCACGTTTTTCTTTTAATTTTTCTGATTTCTTTTATCAAAGAAACCTAAATTATATTTGGCTCAATGATTAGATATGCATTTTCTCTAGGATTTTAAAAGAAAGAAGTAAATTATTTGATACAGTCTATAATTAGAAAAATTACATTTATTCAATAGTCCACATGATTCTTGAAGAAGACAAAATAGAATAGAAGAGAATGCAACTTTATTGTCATTACTTTGTCAAATACAAAGCAATGAAATTCACTCTCTGCATTTAACCCATCTCCTTTGGGGAGCAGTAGGCTGCCACTGTGCAGTGCCAGGGAGCAGCATGGGGGTTAAGGGTCTTGCTCGGGGACCTAGAGGGCAGGCTGTGGGGATTGAACTGGGTACTTGCAACCTTCATAGAGCACAAGCGCACTGCTCTAACCACTAGACCAACACTCCCCCAAAATTCACTCTCTGCATTTAACCCATCTCTTTGGGGATAAGTGGGCTGCCATTGTGCGGCGCCCAAGGATTAAGGGTCTTTGCTCAGGGACCCAGAGTGGAGGCTGTGGGGATTGAACCGGGTACTTGCAACCTTCTCAGAGCACAAGTACTCTACTCTAACCCACTAGGGCAACACTCCCCAAAACGTACATTGTCACCCAGAGCCTGAAAGTTCCCTTGTGGTGTTAGACTACATGTGTCACTGTTTATCATCATAGCACATAGTATTATCAAAGAAACCACACAACCCACGAGATCCCTGTGACATCCATGCGGGAGTTCAGAGTAGGGGTTGGTAATGTGTCCTGAGGAGTTTACCACAAGATTTTGTGGCTTTTGTTCTTATTATGATAAAAGTGATGGTAAAAAATTCTTTAAAAAAATTACAGGCTCTGGACTATAAATCTCTCACCCACATCTCATCTAAAGATAAAACAGTCTTTATTAAGTGGGCCACTTTACTGCCACAGTTACATAAAGTACTGCTGTGAAGTTAAATAGTGCACAATAGAAAAAGTTATTGGTATACTGCCATTTAAGGACTAGTAGAAAATGATTAAACAGCCAAGAGAGCACTTACAGCTACACAGGTTTGTGTTTCCAAAGCTGACTTATTATAGTTTATCATTCATTACTGGCACGGAATTACAAATTCTTATAACACTGTTTTCTTTCTACATTAAGAAAAAATTATGCTACTGCCCAGTTCAGACGGTCAGTAGGAGAAATATATAAGTGAAGTGACAGCTTTGAGTGTCTAATTTTCTTCTTGTCCTCATCTCAGGGGTATTGTCAATGTGGCTTCCTCATCCAACCTCCTTACCAATTCCAAAAGTGTTCAGTTGGTCCTGGACCCCAGCCTGGCCCTCCTGAGTCGTCGTCAGCGCAGGCTGATTCGGCAGAATCCTGGCATCCTACATGCCGTCGCGGCAGGGCTGCACACTGCCATAAAGGAGTGCAAATGGCAGTTCCGCAGCCGCCGCTGGAACTGCCCAACCACCCACGGTTCAGCAGTTTTTGGCAAAATTGTCAACCGTGGTGAGTCTTTCTTGTCTCTCCCTTCAGGGGACATTTGGACAGCTCTAAGCTGGATGTGTTGTGAACATTTGCTATTAAATACCTTCCAACTTTGAGCCAGAACAGTAAAATCTATATCTGTATGCTCTGTGAGTTTTTAATACAGTTTCATTGCTTATTTAGGTTGCAGAGAAACTGCGTTTTTATTTGCCATCACCAGCGCCGGAGTAACCCATGCTGTTGCTCGATCTTGCTCAGAAGGAGCTATTGAGTCGTGTACATGTGATTATCGGCGCAGAGGTCCTGGAGGCCCAGACTGGCACTGGGGGGGCTGCAGTGACAATGTGGATTTTGGAAGGATGTTCAGCCGTGAGTTTGCAGACTCCAGTGAGAAGGGCAGGGATCTGCGTTACCTCACCAACCTGCACAACAACAAAGCCGGAAGAATGGTAACAATTAACTGCTCAGTTAGATGGGAACATTTTGCATCATATAGTTTTCTGATTTTTGTTTTCATTCCTCTCTTAATAGATTGTCTCCTCAGAGATGCGCCAGGAGTGTAAGTGCCACGGCATGTCCGGCTCCTGCACAGTGCGGACCTGTTGGATGCGCCTGCCAAGTTTCCGCACGGTGGGAGATTTTCTCAAGGAACGCTTTGACGGGGCATCCAGAGTTGTGTATGCCAACAAGGGCAGCAACCGTGCCTCTCACCGAGCTGAACCCAGACATCTGGAACCAGAAAACCCAGCCCACAAACCCCCTTCATCCATGGACTTGGTCTACTTTGAGAAATCACCAAACTTCTGCTCCTACAATGGCAAAACTGGCACTTTGGGAACCTCTGGGAGAACATGTAACAGCTCCTCTCCAGGTCTGGATGGGTGTGAGCTGCTGTGCTGCGGACGTGGATTTAAGACTCAGACTGAGAGTGTGACCGAACGCTGCCACTGCACGTTCCACTGGTGCTGTCACGTCAGCTGCTTGAACTGCACCAGCACCAGGACATTACATCAGTGTCTATGATTAAAGTTAGGAGATCTGGGTGGTTATTTGGGCATGTATCGGAGGGGGAAAAAATGAACTTTTTATCTAAGCAGAAGAAGCAGAGGCTCTTAGCCGAGTTGACTGGAGGAGAATAAAAAGTTTATATTCAGGTAATATAAAACAAAAACGTTACCCTTGTCTCAGAAATAGATAGTAAAGCACAAATCTATGAACAGGGTATACAGGTGCTTATGTTTGCCTTTATTTCTAACAAATATTTGGACACAAATTTATGTTTAAGAGAAATTCTTCAAAACCCTGAGGTGTTTACACTAAGAATGATATTGGAATAAAAGGATTTAGAGAAAGATTTTTGCAGCCATTCATGGATGTCTATGTAGCCACAGAGCAGAGGGCTACAGATGCACCCTTATTACCAGGATAGCAACACACTTAGCTGTCCCCTTGTTTACACAGAACTGGGATGCTTCTGATTTTCTTTGGATTCTGCCACCTTTTCAAAACAAATGTCCAAAACAAATTTGCCACTTAAAGCAACCACAGAATGGTAAAGGTGTTTGTCTAGGAAAAATGAAGATAAAGTGATCAGGAGCAGCAAGGAAACTGCATAATTTGAATCATTTTATGAATATATAGAATGTTTTTTTTTTCCAAATGTTTGAGAAACATGTTAAATATGAAGAATGAAAACTGGCACTAATCAACAATGAGCAGTGATGTGAGTAAAAATAGAGGCATCCAACATTAAATTCAAAATCTTATGTGTTTAAAAAATGTTTAACATGTAGCAAACTTTTTACAAATAATTAAACTGCCATTTGGATTTTTGTGCGGCCTTGGTGAAGCCTTTATCTCTGAACTTCCCTAACCAAATATAAGCAGTTATCTAAGTTTCTGGGACAGAATCAAATGCGGTGCAGTTGGTAGGAAGCAGGAAACCTTGTCTCTTCCATCCCATCCTCCCACTTCTAATTCTGCCCTGGGCTTCTGCCCATGTGGACCATATCACAAACTGCCACTGGATGCAAGTATTATCATATGAGAATATATTTATAAAAGTGTCGCTTTCTTTTTGCTAAATGATTAATGCGCCCATAAGTGACTGTACAGCATGACTGGAGTCAAGTCAGGACACATAGAGACATTTTTTTTAAATCAATTTTCGCTTTAATAAAACAGACAAATGTTGACTCTTGCTAGAACCAGAGAATATTTGTGCTATTTTTTCTGCTCAAAACACTTGTTTGTTTGGTCATGCACTGAATATTTACTTTTTTATGAGTGTAAATGCAAATATTTATTTTTAATGATTTTATACTGTTATAGATTATTGTAAGAGCTGTTTTTTTTTAGATTTCAATAAAATAAATCAGATTCTAGTTGTTTTTTTTTCTTTTTTACTGTATGATAGAAAAATAAAGGTTATATTTTCAATTAAGCCAACTCGTCTAAATGTGTCTGAGATGGTCTTACGTCTGATATGCGTTCTGTTATTTTTTAAGAAGTCTGACAATAGACCAAGTGAACACATAAGCTGGTCCCTGGGTGTCCTTTTCTTAATCCTATTACCACTGCCAAAGCAGCCTCTTTCTGCAGGCTCACAAAGCATCCCTGCATCTGTGCTCTGAAGCAAAGAGACAGGCCCTGCTTATCCAGCCACATAACTTATCTCATACAGTATATGGGTGTAGATTGAAGGCTTTTTGCTTCATTTGCCTAATGTCTAAAACGGGGGGGAAAAGGAACACAAAAAATGATGGAAACCAGAGTCCTGTTCAGGACTTGGCAACATAACTAACCACAGAGTCTTGGAGAGATTTTCACTCTTTAACCAGGAGCAGTATGGGAGCAAGCCGGGTTTTTCTGACAACACATGGTGGGTATAAAAAGGATGCAAACAGAACCACATAATAAATCAGCAACATTTGCAAAAATTAAGGGTTTAATCACTTGGATGTGGACAAATATTGGGGAAAAGTTTAAACAAATTAACAAAAAAGGGTGAAGATAAGCACACAAAAAAGCATTTCAGAAAACCTTTTCACGTTTAAAAAACACCTGTCAGTGACTCTGCTGCCATGGTAATAATTGAAAACTAAAAGAGATGTTGGAAATATAGCCGTAACAAAGGAATACAGCCATGTTTTAACACTTCAAATGTTTTTTTTGTTCATATGTTGTCACACTAAAATAACAAACCTGATTTGATTAGATTTTTACTTGACAGATCAAGAAAAGGCAGAAACAATTTTTTATAAGATCACAAATAAAAAACACAAAACCCTTGGAATACATTGGGTTTTAACCTCTCAGGTAAAAGATTTAATGGAGCAAAATGTTCTGGCAATAATAGCTGCAAATCTTTTAAAGTATACATCTGACATATTTCCACATCCTGGGACCGAAAGTCTTTTCAGAACAAAAATAGCCCCGCCTCAGTCAGACTGGAGGTAGCGTATCTTTAAACACTAATTTTTAATCATTTTCTAAACCGAATTAAGGTGCAGATTTTATATGACTTTAAGTTTTCTCTCTACTTCCAAACAACTGGAAAAATTATCAGGTCATTAGTGAGATTGAAGAACTTTACTGCACACTGAAGAGATAATTCAGTGATTTGGTTTAGGGCTGGAATAGGAGACAAATCTAAAAGGTGCAAGACGCAGGAATTCTGAATGGCTGGAACTGAGCACCTGATATTCTTTGCAGCATCAAGCAGGTTTTCATCCATTACTGTCTTGTATTTAGCTTTCTTTGTGCTCTCACAAATTATAACCAGTGCTATGTTGAATAAAGGCACCCCCACCATGATGCTTCCACCACCATGTTCCACAGTGGGGGTGCTGTGTTCACTCACCAGCAGTGTTAGTTTTCAATCACAGATCATATTTAGTATGTAGGCTAAAAAGTATATTTTTTCGTCTCCTCTTTATTGGCTACCTTCTCCCATTTGGATACTGGCTCCCCACTATGGCTTTTGGGGATGTCTTTGAATAAAAGTTTTCATCCAGCTACTCATCCATACAGGCCGATTTAATGGACTCAATGAGGATTATTTACTCTGTTGAGAAATTGTCCTAGCTGAGCTGTTGATGCAGGTTCTCCAGTGTTACCTAACCTTGATTGCCTATCTGATTCATGCCCGCTTTATCAGGACCATCAGCTCAGGTTAAAAACCATGTATGTCTAAAGATGTTCCACACAATTTTCCCTGTTCTTAACTTGGGTTAGACAGTTCTCTGTGAGATGTCTCAAGCTTGGGATTTTTGTTTTGCAATTTAAAGGCCTCGGCAGTATGTATTTGCTTTATATTGATCTGTCTCTTAAAATTCTTATATAATAGACCAGTGTATTCTCATTATCAGTTCGTATGAAATCATACGAAAAGTGATGCACAGTAATTTCGTACGTTTTTGACGTTTTTTTCGTCGTATTTCGTCGTATTTTTACGTCTTGCCCCGAGACAAGATATCCTTGCGCATGCTCATCTTACGCACCATTCAATAACATAGAATTTAACATACAATTAACTCTAACCCTGACCCTAACCCTAACCCTAAGATACAAAACAGCAAGCAACCTAGTTAGAGACATCAAGAAGAAATTATTGCACTGTTTTTCCCAGTTTTACGTCCGTCCGCGGATCTGCTTTTTTCGTCTGTCTGGCTGCGCATGCGCACTGATCAGATTTTTTGAGGAAAAACGTCAAAAACCTACGAAATACTGTGCATAGCTTTTCGTACGATTTCATACGAACTGATAATGAGAATATGTTGAATAGACAGAGTCTTGTAGTTGTAAGAAACTATGTACATAAACATTTGAAAAACATTCAGCTGGTATGAATACCTTTGCAAGACATTGTACAAACCAACGAAAGGCAGAAGGAGGAAAGAATTAAATCCCGATGAAATAAAGCAGTTTGTAAAAAAAAGACTGAAAGCAGAGTTCACACCCCTGTCATGAGAGAAAGGTGGGAGATCTGTTAGAGACAGTGATTCGAGGGGGTGCTGCCTGTGGGAGTGCTGAGGAGTCAGTGATAATTAGCTCAATTAGTGACAAAGGCAGTGTAATAAATACCGACTTAGTGTCTGGGTCCCTGCTGGCCTCTCCTTGCACGGCCTGCAATGTGGCCCTGCCCTGGCGGACAATTCATTAAACTGACAAAATACCCCACCGTCCAGGCGTGACGCAGCGAGTTAGCCCCCTACATGCCCGGCTCATTGTTCTAATTGTCTGGGCTGGAGTCACTTTGTGCCCGCCTCCTCTTTCTCCCGCCCCGCGTTCACGCTCTGCCTTCAGAAAAACCCTTGGAGTTAATGCCCCTACCTTACTCTGCAAGTAGGTGATCGGCAGGTTGGAAAAAAACAGTAAGGGCTCCTTGGGGTGGGGCTGCTGGCAGGGGGGAGGCAGTGGGATTAGCGAATGGAGGTTGCCTGGGAGTGCTGAGAGCAGCACTGATCGGAATGTAGGAGAGATGAGTCCAGAAGCTCGGATGCGGGACAAAGCGAGAGTTAATAAGGAAAGATTGAAGGGGCTGGCGACAATGGGCCGCCACCCGAGTCGAGATGAAATTGCTTCCGAGGATTATTGGGAAAGGGTGTGAGCATTGTAGGGTTTTTGTGTGAGTACGAGTTTTCTCGGGCATTTGTGTGTTTGTGATTATGTGTATGTGTGTTCAGAGGAAGGGGCGGGGGTGCGGGATTGATCGCTGCCCCTCTGGTCGGGGAGCAGGAGACCGAGGGAGGCTAACCGGCTGTTCCCACAGTCTGCTCTGCAGCAGCCACCTTTGACACACGGGGCTGCCAGGCGGCAAGCAGGCAGCCATGGTGAGAAGGGCACAAACAGGAACAACAGCCCGCACTAAACAAAAGTCACTCACTTTGGATCCCAACAGAGGAGCACAAACTAAACTGAAGGGCCCAAAGAATGCTCAAAACTGTATGATTGGACCTCATTTGGGTTTTGGATGCAGACAGCTCCAGTTTAGCCAATATCTCATATCTCTTTGATTCCCACACAAGGCATTCTCATGAATGGAATATGTCCTGTAGTATATTATT